TGCCCTGCCCTGGCTCCTGTCAGCTCCTGTCAGCTCCTTGTCAACCTCTGTCGACCTCTGTCGACAGGGGCGATGCCAGGTACCAGCAACAGTGGGGAATGGAATGACTGACCGAGGTGACTCGAGGTACCGTAAACAGTGGGGCAGGGGCGACTCTGTCCGACCTGACCAAAGTCTGTCCGACCTGGCAGAGGTATGTGGGACCTCACAAAGGTATGTGTGACCTGACAGAGGTATGTGGGACCTGACAGAGGTATGTAAGACCTGTCAGAGGTCTATAGGAGCTGACAGAGATATGTGGAACCTGGCAGACGTCTGACAAACCTGGCCGAGGTCTGTCAGAGACCTCACTGAAGTCATCTGACCTCAGACAGGTCTAACAGACCTCTGTCATGTCCCACATACCTCTGTCAGGTCTCGCAAACGTCTGGCAGGTCGGGCAGACCTTGGTCAGGTCTGACAGGCCTCATTCAGGTCTGAGAGACCTCAGTCAGGTGTCTGACAGACCTCGGCCAGGGTTGTCAGACGTCTGTGAGACAGAGAGACCTCGGTCAGATCTGAAAGACCTCAGTCAGGTCTCTGACTGACCTCGGCCAGGGTTGTCAGACGTCTGTCAGGTTCCACATATCTCTGTCAGCTCCTACAGACCTCTGTCAGGTCTCACATACCTCTGTCAGGTCTGGCAGACCTCGGTCAGGTCGGCGAGACCTCGGTCAGGTCTGAGAGACCTCGGTCAGATCTGAAAGACCTCAGTCAGGTCTCTGACAGACCTCGGCCAGGGTTGTCAGACGTCTGTCAGGTTCCATATATCTCTGTCAGCTCCTACAGACCTCTGTCAGGTCTCACATACCTCTGTCAGGTCTGGCAGACCTCTGTAAGGTCTGAAAGACCTCTGTCAGGTCGGAAAGACCTCGGTCAGGTCTGAGAGACCTCGGTCAGATCTGAAACACCTCAGTCAGGTCTTTGACAGACCTCGGCCAGGGTTGTCAGACGTCTGTCAGGTTCCACATATCTCTGTCAGCTCTAACAGACCTCTGTCAGGTCTCACATACCTCGGTCAGGTCGGAGAGACCTCGGTCAGGTCTGAGAGACCTCGGTCAGATCTGAAAGACCTCAATCAGGTCTGACAGATCTCGGCCAGGGTTGTCAGACGTCTGTCAGGTTCCATATATCTCTGTCAGCTCCTACAGACCTCTGACAGGTCTTACATACCTCTGTCAGGTCCCACATACCTCTGTCAGGTTTGGCAGACCTCGGTCAGGTCGGAGAGACGTCGGTCAGGTCTGAAAGACCTCAGTCAGGTCTTTGACAGACCTCGGCCAGGGTTGTCAGATGTCTGTCAGGTTCCACATATCTCTGTCAGCTCCTACAGACCTCTGTCAGGTCTCACATACCTCTGTCAGGTCTGGCAGACTTCGGTCAGGTCGGCGAGACCTCGGTCAGATCTGTAAGACCTCAGTCAGGTCTCTGACAGACCTCGGCCAGGGTTGTGAGACGTCTGTCAGGTTCCATATATCTCTGTCAGCTCCTACAGACCTCTGTCAGGTTTCACATACCTCTGTCAGGTCTGGAAGACCTCTGTCAGGTCTGGCAGACCTCTGTCAGGTCTGGCAGACCTCTGTCAGGTCTGGCAGACCTCTGTCAGGTCTGGCAGACCTCTGTCAGGTCGGAGAGACCTCGGTCAGGTCTGAGAGACCTCGGTCAGGTCTGAGAGACCTCGGTCAGATCTGAAAGACCTCAGTCAGGTCTTTGACAGACCTCGGCCAGGGTTGTCAGACGTCTGTCAGGTTCCACATATCTCTGTCAGCTCTAACAGACCTCTGTCAAGTCTCACATACCTCGGTCAGGTCGGAGAGACCTCGGTCAGGTCTGAGAGACCTCGGTCAGGTCTTAGAGACCTCGGTCAGGTCTGAGAGACCTCGGTCAGATCTGAAAGACCTCAATCATGTCTCTGACAGATCTCGGCCAGGGTTGTCAGACGTCTGTCAGGTTCCATATATCTCTGTCAGCTCCTACAGACCTCTGACAGGTCTTACATACCTCTGTCAGGTCCCACATACCTCTGTTAGGTCTGGCAGACCTCGGTCAGGTCGGAGAGACCTCGGTCAGGTCTGAAAGACCTCAGTCAGGTCTTTGACAGACCTCGTCCAGGGTTGTCAGACGTCTGTCAGGTTCCACATATCTCTGTCAGCTCCTACAGACCTCTGTCAGGTCTCACATACATCTGTCAGGTCTGACATACCTTGGTCAGGTCGGAGAGACCTCGGTCAGGTCTCGCATACCTCTGTCAGGTCTGGTAGACCTCTGTCAGATCTGACAGACCTCTGTCAGGTCGGAGAGACCTCGGTCAGGTCTGAGAGACCTCGGTCAGATCTGAAAGACCTCATTCAGGCCTTTGACAGACCTCGGCCAGGGTTGTCAGACGTCTGTCAGGTTCCACATATCTCTGTCAGCTCTAACAGACCTCTGTCAGGTCCACATACCTCGGTCAGGTCGGAGAGACCTCGGTCAGGTCTGAGAGACCTCGGTCAGATCTGAAAGACCTCAGTCAGGCCTTTGACAGACCTCGGCCAGGGTTGTCAGACGTCTGTCAGGTTCCACATATCTCGGTCAGCTCCTACAGACCTCTGTCAGGTCTCACATACCTCGGTCAGGTCGAAGAGACCTCGGTCAGGTCTGAGAGACCTCGGTCAGATCTGAAAGACCTCAATCAGGTCTCTGACAGATCTTGGCCAGGGTTGTCAGACGTCTGTCAGGTTCCATATATCTCTGTCAGCTCCTACAGACCTCTGACAGGTCTTACATACCTCTGTCAGGTCCCACATACCTCTGTCAGGTCTGGCAGACCTCGGTCAGGTCGGAGAGACCTCGGTCAGGTCTGAAAGACCTCAGTCAGGTCTTTGACAGACCTCGGCCAGGGTTGTCAGACGTCTGTCAGGTTCCACATATCTCTGTCAGCTCCTACAGACCTCTGTCAGGCCTCACATACCTTTGTCAGGTCTGACATACCTCGGTCAGGTCGGAGAGACCTCGGTCAGGTCTGAGAGACCTCGGTCAGATCTGAAAGACCTCAGTCAGGTCTCTGACAGACTTCGGTCAGGCTCGACAGATCTTTGTCAGGTCCGACAAACTCAACAAGGCATCCTCGGACCGATCAGCAGGGAGCGCCGGGCTGCACCGGCCGAACTGCTGCCGCATGACGGGCCCGTGAGTCATGACCGCCGGGATGACGGTGCGCCCCGCGTCACCAGTCACCCCACCCCTACCGTCCCCTGTGTGTCTGTATCTGACACCCACGCACCCCCTACATTCCTCTGTCTGCCTGTACCTGACACCCCCTCCCCGTCTGCCCCACAGCGGCGCACCGCCAGTTCGAGGCCAAGCGCAAGTCGCACTACAACGAGTTCTACGCGGTGAAGCTGGCCCGACAGCTGATGGAGAAGGAAGAGGAGTTGCTGGAGGCCAAGTCGGAGGAGGGCGCCGGCCCGTCCTCGGCTGCCGGGCCGTCCTCATCGTCTGCCGAGCCGGCCCCGGCCCCTGACTCGGCTCCGTCGACCAGCTCGTAGACGGACGGCCCGCCGAGACCGGCCCGGCGCCGGAGCCCGTCTGTGTATTGGTTTGGCAGGCGCACTGTGTGTCCGGCCCGGTGCAGCCATTTGTGATACGGTTTAGCCAGAACGCTGCTGCTCCTGCTAACGGTGTGACGCGGTGGATGTCACGTCAACACCACCGTCACGTCACTGCAACCGTCAGTCACGTCACGTCTTGTCGCCGGATCGACAGCCGCCGTGACGGGACCGGGAGGGCAGCCCAGCTGTGTGCCACAGAGGCTGACGGAGGACTCCTCTAGGACAAAGGAACAAAGGTGGTGGCTCATCCCACCATGGTGGTGCCCCGGCGGCTGGCGCGCGCGGAAGCCACTCGTGGTCGCCAAGAAGCGTCATGCCGGTCCGACCAGCTCTCGGTGGACACATCCGTTAGCGCCGCGTCAGGCGGGCAGTGCGGCCGGCGGTCGCGCTGGGGAAGGCGGCGTGCCCTATCGACCCGGCGACGCAGTGATGGAGGCCGCCGGCGGACTCAGACGGCCGCGGGACACGTATGTGATGCCTCGCTGACCGAGAGCCGGCCGGCCACCCGCTCCGGCGCGGAGCCGAGGCTTTATTTACCGCTGGGGACGGACATGCGCGTACCGCTGGGGGCCCGTGCTGATTCCGCCGACGGCGTTGTCCTATGATGCTGCAGTGCAGCGCGTACTCTGTAGAGTGTAGGGACGTAAGAGGCATCAAATTACGGCGCGGAAGTGCGCCAGCTCGGAAAGTCGCCGGCCGTAACCGGCCTTCTGATACAAACTCGGTACCTACTTCCAGGCCGCCGGCTCGAGGGACCGGCCCAGTGCCGTCGCCAGGCTCATCAGTGGAATAGCGCGCTAGGATGGATGTTATGAATGTAAAGTCAACGTCTCCGCGCGGGCCTGCGTTAGACCATCGATAATGTCCTGTTCGCTCCTCGTGCATGTCTGTGTTTGTTTGGGTGCGTGTGCAGTGCAGATTGTGTGGGTGGGCGTATCACAGATAGCGTCTGATTGTCGCCGGTGTAGCAAGGATTGACCTTCCGAATAATCCTCGCTGATTGTCGTTGCAATAAACGTCGAATGCTGGTGTCACACGCCGCGCGCTCTTTTGTCCCCTTCCATCGACCCTGCGGCGCCACCACCCACTCCGCCGTTGGAGGACATCAGCTCCTGAATAGGGAGGGGGTTACAGACATCAGCAGCACCAGCTTCTCACTCTTTCGTTCTAATACTCGTTCTAATACTCCCAACACCCGTTGTTGTCCAGGAGTTGAGTTGGAATGGGGGGGGGTGTTCACTGTTCAGTAGCCCTCCCCCTAGCAGGCGTGGGAATCGTGTGGAGCCCCAGTGTAGAGTGGGATAGCCTTTTCCGCTGGATTGTGATCAGGCTTTGCGTCGAATAACACTGATCCATTGAAAGATGTTCCGATTTACTTGCCCAGGCACATTTTTATTCAGAAAGAAAACATACATATGGTTTGCTGATGGATAATAGATTATGGCAGCAGGTAACACCCAGGCGGTGTGCCATCTGCTGCAGGGCCAGCAGTGTGGTGCGTCCCGAATGTGGTCGCCAAAGACGCAGCTCGCCGCCCAGACAGCCGGAGACCAGCACACCGGCCGAACCGCCGAACGACAGGCACGAAACCGACTCCTCGTAGCCATGCAGCGTGCTGCCGGCGAGAGGTCACGGGAAGGTCAGCTTATAATGTACACACAGACAAGACAGCACACAGAGCAGAGCTAACAGAGCAGAGCAGTGTACAGCAGAGCTGACAGAGCAGAGCAGAGCAAGGCGGGGCAGAGCAGAGCGAGCAGAGCAGAGCTGACTTAGAGAGCTGACAGGAGCTGACAGGAGGACAGGGCAGGGCAGGGCAGAGGCGACTTCAGGTACCGTAAACAGTGCGGCAGGGGCGACTCCAGGTACCGTTAACAGTGCGAAATGGAATGCAATAGACGACTCCAGGTACCGTTAACAGTGGGGCAGGGGTAGTCAACAGTTTACATGGGGCAGTCAACTGTTAACAGGGGCAGTTAACATGGGGCAGTCAGACTGAGGTCGGAGAGACCTCGGTCAGGTCTGAAAGACCTCAGTCAGGTCTTTGGCAGACCTCGGCCAGGGTTGTCAGACGTCTGTCAGGTTCCACATATCTCTGTCAGCTCCTACAGACCTCTGTCAGGTCTCACATACCTCTGTCAGGTCTGGCAGACCTCGGTCAGGTCGGAGAGACCTCGGTCAGGTCTGAGAGACTTCAGTCAGGTCTTTGACAGACCTCGGCCAGGGTTGTCAGACGTCTGTCAGGTTCCATATATCTCTGTCAGCTCCTACGGACAGGGAGGGTCCACATAGGAGGGCTGTCAGAAGTCTGTCAGGTTCCACATATCTCTGTCAGCTCCTACAGACCTCTCACAGGTCTTACATACCTCTGTCAGGTCTGGCAGACCTCAGTCAGGTCTAAGAGACCTCAATCAGGTCTCTGACAGACCTCGGCCAGGGTTGTCAGAGGTCTGTGAGGTTCCGCATATCTCTGTCAGCTCCTACAGACCTCTGACAGGTCTTACATACCTCAGTCAGGTCCCACATACCTCTGTCAGGTGTGACAGACCTATGTTAGGTCGCACGTACCTCTGTCAGGTCCCACATACCTCTGTCATGTCCCACATACCTTTCTCAGGTCCCACAGACGTCTGTCAGGTCTGCCAGACCTCAATCAGGTCTCTGACAGATCTCGGCCAGGGTTGTCAGACGTCTGTCAGGTTCCATATATCTCTGTCAGCTCCTACAGACCTCTGTCAGGTCTCACATACCTCTGTCAGGTCTGACAGACCTCGGTCAGGTCGGAGAGACCTCGGTCAGGTCTAAGAGACCTCGATCAGGTCTAAGAGACCTCGGTCAGGTCTAAGAGACCTCGGTCAGGTCTGAGAGACTTCGGTCAGATCTGAAAGATCTCAGTCAGGTCTCTGACAGACTACGGCCAGGGTTGTCAGATGTCTGTCAGGTTCCATATATCTCTGTCAGCTCCTACAGACCTCAGACAGGTCTTACATACCTCTGTCAGGTCTGACAGACCTCAGTCAGGTCTGAGAGACCTCAGTCAGGTCTCTGACAGACCTCGGCCAGGTTTGTCAGGCGTCTGTCAGGTTCCATATATCTCTGTCAGCTCCTACAGACAGGGTGGGTCCACATAGGAGGGTTGTCAGACGTCTGTCAGGTTCCACATATCTCTGTCAGCTCCTACAGACCTCTGTCAGGTCTCACATACCTCTGTCACGTCTGACAGACGTCTGTCAGATCTGACAGACCTCGGTCAGGTCAGAGAGACCTCGGTCAAGTCTGAGAGACTTCAGTCAGGTCTTTGACAGATCTCGGCCAGGGTTGTCAGACGTCTGTCAGGTTCCATTTATCTCTGTCAGCTCCTACAGACCTCTGACAGGTCTTACATACCTCTGTCAGGTCTGACAGACCTCGGTCATGTCGGAGAGACCTCGGTCAGGTCTGAGAGACCTCGGTCAGGTCTGAGAGACCTCGGTCAGGTCTGAGAGATCTCAGTCAGGTCTCTGACAGACTACGGTCAGGGTTGTCAGATGTCTGTCAGGTTCCATATATCTGTCAGCTCCTACAGACCTCAGATATATCTTACATACCTCTGTCAGGTCTGACATACCTCTGTCAGGTCTGACAGACCTCAGTCAGGTCTGAGAGACCTCAGTCAGGTCTCTGACAGACCTCGGCCAGGTTTGTCAGGCGTCTGTCAGGTTCCATATATCTCTGTCCGCTCCTACAGACAGGGAGGGTCCACATAGGAGGGTTGTCAGACGTCTGTCAGGTTCCACATATCTCTGTCAGCTCCTACAGACCTCTGTCAGGTCTCACATGCCTCTGTCACGTCTGACAGACCTCGGTCTGGTCTGACAGTCCTCGGTCAGGTCGGAGAGACCTCGGGTCAGGTCTGACAGACCTCAATCAGGTCTGACATACCTCAATCAGGTCTGACAGACCTCAATCAGGTCTCTGACAGATCTCGGCCAGGGTTGTCAGACGTCTGTCAGGTTCCATATATCTCTGTCAGCTCCTACAGACCTCAGATAGATCTTACATACCTCTGTGAGGTCTCACATACCTCTGTCAGGTCTGACAGACCTCGGTCAGGTCTGGCAGACCTCGGTCATGTCGGAGAGACCTCGGTCAGGTCTGAGAGACTTCAGTCAGGTCTTTGACAGACCTCGTCCAGGGTTGTCAGACGTCTGTCAGGTTCCATTTATCTCTGTCAGCTCCTACAGACCTCTGACAGGTCTTACATACCTCTGTCAGGTCTGACAGACCTCGGTCAGGTCGGAGAGACCTCGGTCAGGTCTCAGAGACCTCGGTCAGGTCTGAGAGACTTCAGTCAGGTCTTTGACAGACCTCGGCCAGGGTTGTCAGACGTCTGTCAGGTTCCATTTATCTCTGTCAGCTCCTACAGACCTCTGACAGGTCTTACATACCTGTCAGGTCTGACAGACCTCGGTCAGGTCGGAGAGACCTCGGTCAGGTCGGAGAGACCTCGGTCAGGTCTGAGAGACCTCGGTCAGGTCTGAGAGATCTCAGTCAGGTCTCTGACAGACTACGGTCAGGGTTGTCAGATGTCTGTCAGGTTCCATATATATCTGTCAGCTCCTACAGACCTCAGATAGGTCTTACATACCTCTGTCAGGTCTGACAGACCTCAGTCAGGTCTGAAAGACCTCAGTCAGGTCTGAAACACCTCAGTCAGGTCTGAAAGACCTCAGTCAGGTCTGAAAGACCTCAGTCAGGTCTCTGACAGACCTCGGCCAGGTTTGTCAGGCGTCTGTCAGGTTCCATATATCTCTGTCAGCTCCTACAGACAGGGAGGGTCCACATAGGAGGGTTGTCAGACGTCTGTCAGGTTCCACATATCTCTGTCAGCTCCTACAGACCTCTGTCAGGTCTCACATGCCTCTGTCACGTCTGACAGACCTCAGTCTGGTCTGACAGTCCTCGGTCAGGTCGGAGAGACCTCGGTCAGGTCTGACAGACCTCAATCAGGTCTCTGACAGATCTCGGCCAGGGTTGTCAGACGTCTGTCAGGTTCCATATATCTCTGTCAGCTCCTACAGACCTCTGTCAGGTCTCAAATACCTCTGTCAGGTCTGACAGACCTCGGTCAGGTCGGAGAGACCTCGGTCAGGTCTGAGAGACCTAGGTCAGGTCTGAGAGACTTCGGTCAGGTCTGAGAGACCTCGGTCAGGTCTGAGAGACCTCGGTCAGATCTAAAAGATCTCAGTCAAGTCTCTGACAGACTACGGCCAGGGTTGTCAGATGTCTGTCAGGTTCCATATATCTCTGTCAGCTCCTACAGACCTCAGATACGTCTTACATACCTCTGTCAGGTCTGACATACCTCAGTCAGGTCTGAGAGACCTCAGTCAGGTCTCTGACAGACCTCGGCCAGGTTTGTCAGGCGTCTGTCAGGTTCCATATATCTCTGTCAGCTCCTACAGACAGGGAGGGTCCACATAGGAGGGTTGTCAGGCGTCTGTCAGGTTCCACATATCTCTGTCAGCTCCTACAGACCTCTCACAGGTCTTACATACCTCTGTCAGGTGCCACATAGCTCTGTCGGGTCCCACATACCTCTGTCAGGTCCCACATACCTCTGTCAGGTCCCGCAAACGTCTGGCAGGTGGGACAGACCTTGGTGGTCAGGTCTGACAGACCTCAGTCAGGTCTGAAAGACCTCAGTCAGGTGCCTGACAGACCTCGGCCAGGGTTGTCAGACGTCTGTCAGGTTCCACATATCTATGTAAGCTCCCACATACCTCTGTCAGGTCACACATACCTTTGTTAGGTCCCACATACCTCTGCCAGGTCGGACAGACTTCGGTCAGGTCGGACAGAAGAGTCGCCCCTGCCCCACTGTTTACGGTATCTCAATTCACCTCGGTCAGTCATTCCATTCCCCACTGTTGATGGTACCTGGCATCGCCCCTGTCGACAGAGGTCGACAGAGGACGACAGAGGTTGACAGAGGACGACAGAGGTTGACAAGGAGCTGACAGGAGCTGACAGGAGCCAGGGCAGGGCAGGGCAGGGCAAGAGCCAGGGCAGGGCAGGAGCCAAGGCAGGGCAGGAGCCAAGGCAGGGCAGGGCAGGGCAGGGTCGACAGAGGTCGACAGAGGTCGACAAAAGAGGTCGACAGAAGAGGTCGTAAGACGAGGTCGACAGAGGTTGGCAGAGGTCGACAGAGGTCGACGGAGGTTGACAAGGAGCTGACAGGAGCTGACAGGAGCTGACAGGAGCCAGGGCAGGGCAGGGTCGACAGAGGTCGACAGGGGTCGACATGTGTCCACAGGGGTCGACAGAGGTCGACAGAGGTCGACAGAGGTCTACAGAGGCGGACAGAGGTCGACAGTGGCGGACAGAGGCGGACAGAGGCAGATATCAGCAGCACCAGCTCCTGAATAGGGAAAGGGAGTTATACAGGAGCTGACAGGAGAGCTGACAGGAGCTGACAGGAGAGCTGACAGGAGCTGACAGGAGCCAGGACAGGGCAGGGCAGGAGCCAGGGCAGGGCAGGGCAGGGCAGGGCAGGGCAGGACAGGGTTGACAGAGGTTGACAGAGGTCGACAAGGAGCTGACAGGAGCTGACAGGAGCCAGGACAGGGCAAGGCAGGGCAGGGTCGACAGAGGTCGACAAGGAGCTGACAGGAGCTGACAGGAGCTGGCAGGAGCCAGGGCAGGGTAGGAGCCAGGGCAGGGCAGGAGCCAGGCCAGGGCAGGAGCCAGGGCAGGGCAGGAGCCAGGGCAGGGCAGGGTCGACAGAGGTCAACAGAGGTCGACAAAAGAGGTTGACAGAAGAGGTCGTAAGAAAAGGTCGACAGAGGTTGACAGAGGTCAACAGAGGTCAACAAGGAGCTGACAGGAGCCAGGGCAGGGCAGGAGCCAGGGCAGGGCAGGGCAGGGCATGGCATTGCAGGGTCGACAGAGGTCAACAAGGAGCTGACAGGAGCTGACACAAGCCAGGGCAGGGCAGGGCAGGGCAGGGTCAACAAAGTTCGACAGAAGAGGTCGACAGAGGTCAGAAAGGGTCGACAAGGGATGACAGAGGTGGACATGGTCAACAGGGGTCAACAGGGGTCGACAGAGGCCGACAGAGGCGGACAGAGGCCGACAGTGGCGGACAGAGGCAGACATCAGCAGCACCAGCTCCTGAATAGGGAGGGGGAGTTATAGACATCAGCAGCACCAGCTTCTCACTGGGGAAGGGGGAGTTACAGAAACACCAGCAGCTCCAGCTGAGTCTCCAGCACCACCTGCTACGGCTGGGGATCGATGCACTAGTTCCTCACTGAACAGTGGACACATAACGGGAGGGAAGAATGTTGAGCACACTCAGACGGATCGGATCAGCTGTTGCGGCTCATTTTAAGCAGCGGGCATATGGAACAAGATTGCTCAAATGCTTCAGCAGCCCTAGGCTCTGCATACCAGCAGAGTGGGCGGCTGACATCACCTGACATCACCTGGGAATGACGCAGACAGAGCAGCTCTACTACATCTATGCTGCATATGTCCGAGCTGCCCCCGATTCTAATTGACATTGGCCAGTTAGCTTTGACTAAGTTCATCTCCATTTATACTGCAGCAGATACCAAAAAGCAGAGGTAGGTGTTAAGTCTCAGTAGGCATTATATTGGGATAATTAGGACTTCATATTGCATTGCATAGGTAGGTATGTACCTACATGATAAAGTAGATTTTTTTAAGAGGGTGTTATGAGGGCTTTAGGATTGATTAGGCAAGGCTTAATATGCTTCTTTGAAAAAAATATGCAAAGGACCACCCTAGCGTATCAACAGAGCATGCAATCTAATACATAGACCTCACCAAAGTATATAAAAACACTTAAAACACAATTTAATACACTATAACACGCTATATTTTTGCCTAATGGTCTTTTGTTTACGCGCCGAGATCGAATCAAACGCGTCAGTCAAGATTGGTCAAGATGCCTGGCGGCCATGTTTGAATTAAAACTTGTAATTATTTTTATTCACATATCTATATTTGAGTCGTGCCGCGCTTAGATTTTATTTTTGCTGACTATCAAAAGCAAAATTGTAAAACCAAAATTATTCTCACGAAATTTGAGATAGTCCCTCAACTGAAAAATGCTAACGATCTTGTATTTCAAGTCTACGAAAAACTGCTGTTGGGGCGTGCCGCGCTTAAATTTAAGATAAGTTATGCTAAAAATTAAAACTCAAAAGGTCAAAATGATTTTTGAAGCAATCTAAATAGTCCGCAGTACATGACCCATGTAACTTTGACCTGAGGTCGCTCTGCAAATTGACCGTGCCGCGCTTAGATTTTACCCTCATTAAATTGGGAAGGTCAAATTGTATAGTCAAAATCATTTTTGAGTCATTCTGAGTAGTCTGCAGACCATTTATTTCGAATACGAATCTGAATCCGAATATGTTGCCAAATAGATGAACATCTTAACCCGGCAGTTGCTGGGGTGTTTCGCCACCCACCGTTTGCTGGGGGGGGGGGCGTTAAACGCCCCCAGCCGATAACTCGAGAACCAATAGGCGCAGCGAAACGCACGAGGCGGCAAACGAAAGAACGCGACGAGACGCTTCAGATGAGTACTTTAAAGTTGAATTTTGAGGTCACAGGTCGGGTCAAGGTCAGGTCAAACACCTGAAATCGGGCTTTCAGTAGCATGGACTTCAGGACTTCGCAATGGGCGCCTCTCGTCATAAACTCTGTCAAAACGGTGCACAATCCATCATATAAGGCCTACAAGAGTGTCAGCTCCATGTAGGGGTCAGTCATGCATAGGTCAGGGTCAAGGTCAGGTCAACCGGGTAGGCAAATATCCCCGAAAATCAAAACTGATATTCGCAGCCTGTGACACATGTTTTATGGGTAATTTGGGGCGTAGAACACGATGGTGACATTCATTTTATCATATGTGTACGTGTTTGGCTCAAAAAGTTCAATTTAAGAAATGCATGTATCATGGTCGTTAAGTAGTCACGAGAAATTGCCAAGATTCAGTTCAAGATTTTGGAAAATGCGGAACGATAATCAATAATCGAAGATGGCCATTTGATTGTTCATGGTATTGGCAGTCTAATGGCGTTTACGGCATGTCTGTATGTCTATTCTGTGATTTTATATGATTTTTTGAACATATGCCGTTTTCGGTCGAAAACTCAGAAATCATGACGTCACTAAAACCTCGATATCTCAAAAATTTTCCGACCGATTTTTTTGAAACTTTGTCACAATACACTTCATTCAATTCCCTACAGGTAATCAAAATTTGGCGCGCCTGCGGCGCGCCGTTTTTATGCTATGGCCCGGCGAAAAAAGTGGGGGCGTTTAACGCCCCCCCCCAGCAACTCGCGGGTTAAATTGCAGGAGGGGGAGGAGGCAGGGGCGTCGCCACGGCTTTTTTAGTGGGGGGGGGGTCGGGTTTCCGGTCTTCGTCTTGATGGGTAGAGGTGTTATTAGCCACACTCCCGGTTTTTTCATGTGTTGAGAAAAATCTCGGCGCGCAGCGCCACGAAAGCAGCGGTGTATCTTATTGTACATACTACATACATCACTTTTGCATCGTGCATAAAAATCAAGCACAGGCCACCTGAGGTCAGGTCACAATGTCATGTTCTGTTCAGTTTTAATGCCTCTAAAAGCTGCAATCTTGTCATTCCTATAGATTATCTCCTATAAGTCTGAAATTTGGTCTAATGAATGGGATTATAAGTGCCAACAGTTCATGAATCTGGGATTTTACATCTGAAAAGTGAAGTCAGGTCAAATAGGTATGTGACCTCACCAATCAATCATGATAAGATATGGGAAAATGCACGAATGCCCTCTGCTTTGAACGAATATGCTAAAAACGCTATAAGATACTTTTGTAGCCATGGCACCTCTGCTCATTTTAGAGACAAGGTGCAGCTAATGACCAGTGGTGACTCGAATGGTCAGTCATTACTATTAGTTAGGTCATCAAAGGTCTCTAACACATTTTCGACAACTTTTGATGGAGACGCTGTAGAGCGATGACAGCACCTGGAGTGTGTTCAGTGTGTGTTCAGTGTTCAGCACCATGTGTTCAGTGTTCAGTGCTGGAGTGTCAAGTGTGTTCAGCTCAGCAACACAGATCGATCGCACATTTTTGCAGCGGGTTCTTTTCCGGTCAGGACATGACCATTGATTAACATTTACCTGATGTCAAGTTGTCTAGTTAAGTTCTTAAGTTCAAATTGTAAGTCACGAAACAAACACGATGGTGATACCTAACATGAATATCATATACATTCACTGAATCATAGGTTGTTACAGAACAAATGTTTCGGCAAAATCCGTCCGTTTAACTGTTTGGCCTCTGTGGTACACAAGCCATAGACCCGAAGTCATACCTATCTGAGGCGAAGTTGGCGAAAGAGCTTTAAAAAAGCTATCGAGTACGCTTTCTGTGTCACTATAGCTCTTATTCGTGTTTTACGGGTCGCTAAGGTAAAATGTTTACCAACGCAACGCTAAAGGTATGCTTTCGGCCCCTGATCGAGGTAGAGCTTCGCGGAAAAGCGAGGACGCTGCCCGTGATGAGAGAAAGCCGATGATGCCCAATTTCAAGGTCTTGGCCGGGTCATCTTAGGTCAACGCCCAAAAGTAGAAAAAGCTGGCCTGCTAGAACTTTGTGAGCCGTAGCTGTTATCGGGGTTCCGGGTACGAGTTCGATGTTAGTTTTGGACAAAGATGATGACTCCATGCATTTGGGGTAGATCGGGTCGGGTCAGGTCAGGTGGACCAGCAGGCTTCCTGCCGGCCATCTACATAGAGTGGGTGACAACCACCAACGATAGCTTCGTAACATGTTACTACATAACCACCATTTATCAAAACTA